TGTGTGTGTGTGTGTGTGTGTGTGTGTGTGTGTGTGTGTGTGTGTGTGTGTGTGTGTGTGTGTGTCTCTCTCTTCATCTTCACGACCGTACAGAGAGGTGTTAAAATGTTACGCCTCGATGCGTCCTACAGCCTTGAGCGGTCCACATCTGGTTGTTCAGAGGTGATGTGTAGCACTTTTCTAAGAAGTTTTACACTCCTTCTATAATATGAACTCAACTTCCTTTCTGCCAGTAATGTCATAAAGCTCCTATTATCCCAGAGTTCCTCCCCCGCCTCCCCTCCGTCCTCCGCTGATGAATGGTTTGCATAAATCTTATCTGATGTGCCTTCTCAACAGACAGCCAAGCTGCAGCTGGCCAGGCAGCGGGCCCAGGATCACCCCGAGGACGAGGACTGTCAGGAACAGATTCAGGAGATCAAGCAGGAGTAAGAGCAGCCATTACCGCCGTCCGCTTGCTGCGACAGCCTCTGCTGACCCAGCCTCTCGCTCCCTATCAGCCTCCGCTCGGCTGCACAGCTTCCTCCTGATTCACCAGACCAGCCTTTGGTCGTAAACACGGCTGTCACTTTGTTCTGAAAATCTTTGGGGACAATGTTTTCAGATAAAAAGAAAATGTGCATAATACACTAGTAACATAGGTCTTCTATTTTTAAACAACACTTTAAGACACATAGCATTGCTCTTCAATGAGGCAAACCCGATTCAATAGCTGTGTGTTTTGACCCAGAGAGAGAATATAAGACTTTAAGTATTTTATAAGCTCTATTATGCTTTTTGGGTTTTCCCTTTCCTGCAGGTTTGTGTGCATGTAAATGGTATGCAAAGGCTAACATCCCAAAGGTCCCTCTCCCACACACAAAATACAAATATAAACCTGAACATTAGCATAATGTCCTTTTTACAGTTTCTGATCAGTGCATGCATGTTTTGGGTCATTTTAGAATCGATTGGTTAAGAGGGTCTAGTGCAGTGTCTATGCCCCCCTGCTGTAAAGCGGGAGCAATGTTTAGTTTTCCATTTTCTACTCTCTGTCCCATTTCCAAATTGCACCACTAAGGTCCCCAGAAATACACCCACCAAGTTATAATCGACAAACTGATCTCAAAATGTTTTTCATGTGCAAATAATCCCTTCTTAAAGTGTTCTTATTTATAACATTTTAAACAGATTAAAACGTGGTACAGACAAAATGTACCTTTTCAGAAAGTGGTGTGAACGTTGTAAATGACCTCTATGGTTGTAAAACAAACTCAAATGTCTCTTAACACAAATACTTCTTTTCCAGAATCATCAAGAACAAAGAGGCTCTGAGTGAGATCATGCAGGACTTTAAGTATGACTCTGAGGAGTGTGATTGACAGGCGGCTCCCAGGGGGCGGGGCGACTGGCGGATGCAACTTCCCTCCTCCTCAGACTCCTCAGCTCGTATCGATCCTCTGACTCCACCCTGCCGGCTGCTGCAGGCTCTCTGCGTTTCTATCTGGGCTCATGTGTTTGTGTTAATGCACGCCTCAGCAGAATAGGACATTTGTAAATACTCTACAAGGTGAAATAATTCCTGGAGGCTCATCCTATGTCGCCATCTTTGTTTACTTGATGAATTGTATTAATTTTTTTTTAAATAAAAAAGAGAAGTTTGACTTTTTTAATGTTTTATACATATCATACATTATTTCAGTGGCACTATTGGTGCGTTACAAGAATATAACTTAGATGAAAAAACATTTAAATATGCAGTTGTACAAATATAAACAGTAGGAAAATGTCTTCAAACAAATGGTGTACTACACAGGAGTATAAACATTTCACACAAAGTGATCCTTAATTCACAGGAATACAATTAAACACTTGCTGCAGTTAAGAAATATCCAAATGTAACTATACGAAAGGTTTTTGCTGCAACATTTTCATGGCTCGCCAATTGATGTCTAATTACGGACAGATTTTGTCTGCAGAAAAAGGGCAACATCGTCTTCAGTGATCCTCCACTCGGGCCCTTTAAACTGAAGTTAAGTCAGTCTGACAAACACTGCAGTATCACTCAGTCGGGGCCGATGACCCCTCACACAGCTGGGGGCCCACACGGAGTTATCCCTCTGTGTTTCTTGATGCTGTTCTTGTATTAAAACTCCACAGTGGTGCTGAGCGGCGCTGCTATGAATTATCGTCTTGAAGAATCTGGAAAGACAAAAGCAGATGGTTCACAGTGTGATCATTCAACAGGAAGAACCATGTAATTTACAATGATCACAATTATTACTCTGTCTGGCTGCCACTTCTCTCCCCTCCCCTCTTTTTCCACTTCTTTCTTTGCATCATCTCTTTCTTATTCTCGGCGTAGCGCCCCCCCCCCTGCTACCTTTCTCTCAAGGTAATCAATGGGAAGCTGTCACGGCTTGTGAACAAAGACATTATTCAGGTGACAGCGTGTGCTCGGCAAAGCACAAAAACCTGCTGAGCTAATTGAGTCAGGTAGAGGGAGGGCTTCTGTGAGTTCAAGGACTGAAAGCAGAGGATTTGGCTGAAGGATCTGAGCTCCTCACAAAGTCACAGAAGATGCTCTGCGTGCCATTTGTCCCGAGTTAGTTTTGTTGAAAGGGTTCCTCACGCCGAGAGAAAACAAAGAACACATTACAGTCGGCCATTAAAAACATTTGCATGCTTGTTTCTCTTTGTTGTGGTCGTCAGATGAAGATCAGGAGTTGCTCGTTAAAATATGAAATAAAACCAGAGTGCATCTACTTAAATCCTCCCATTTCTGGGCCTGTAAAGTCAAAACCGCACATTTCTACCTAATCACTAGGTTTGAAATGAAACTTCACAGAGACAGCATGTTTAACAGAAATCAGTCCTCTCTGTGTTTGTCGAATGTTGATCATAAGGCAGAAATCCAGGGTCTGAAATCCATTTCAAGACTGATTTAGAGCTTGGTAGAGCTGGTGGCCCATGTTCCCCTCTATCTCCCCCTTCTAAATTCATCTCAAATAAAGTCTACACCGGCCCAAAACATTGTGATGGCCTCTACCAAGAACGAAGGTTTGACTCTCAAGCCAGCAGGAGTTTCAGACAATATCATCCTCTCTCTCTCTCCCCCTTTTCAACACTGTACACTGAATTCAATGTGGGTGTAAATAATAGAGAGATAGTGAGGTTTTGCTTACCTACCTTGTTGCGTGTTTTGTGTGTTTTCTGCAGCCACACCCTCCACTGGTCGTACAGTTTGATTGACATGCCGCTGCAGCCGGACGCATGCTTGCGGACCCAGCCGAAGAACTGCTTGAGTTCCCGCCGCAGGGTGGAGTTCTGCTCACCGGGCTTCGGATCGCAGGAACCACTCTGCAGCCTCTCTGTTAAAGGAGGAGGAGGAGGGGAGGGGGGGGTGAGACAGAGGAGAGAGTGCAAGGGATTTAAAAAGGATGAGGTGAGAAAGAGGAGGGAGGATGAAGAAGAAGAGCGTCAAGGTTACAGTTAGGACAAGTGCCAGTGCAAGGCGTATAGATTATGCACCGACTGCAAACACTTCATGTGTCAGCATTAATGTGATGGAGATGTTTTTTTTGGCCCTTTTCCCCCAAAAAATATGATGTCATGCTGTTTACATTAACCGGGCTTAAAACACCAAATAAAAATAAAAAACCAAAATATATATTTTTGCAAATACATTCTAATAACTTGATCTCCTGACACCTCATCTAGCGCTACATTGCCATCTGTCAGATAGTTTGGCTCACTGAAAAACCAATGACAGCTTTACTTACAAGTTGTCAAATGTTAGCTTAGCTAGCTAACAGCTAAGATGGTTTCTTGTTCTAATGCAGTATAAGTGGATAAAAGCATCAGCTAAATGTAATGTAAATGATAAACATAAGCTTGTAAGCATTGTCATTTGGAGCATGTTAGCATTCTGAGGTTAGCATTAAGCTTACAGGGACTTAGCATTAGCTGTGGAACTATATTATACAGTCTATACTGTAGAGGTTTGTTAGTAGTATGCTGTAGACTCTTCTCGATGTCAATCCTATAAATGTTTAGCCTATAAAATGGAAAACCAACATCGATCTCAACTCACCAGAGGTCATAGTTTTTAGTAGGACAGAAATAACACTTATGTAATTCCAGTCTCAAGCCTTGATATTATGCTCTGGCGTATTATTAAATAGGAATTTAACCAAGAAACCTAGCATGCCTCTCGCATCTCTGCTTGCTTCTGGTACAAACTGTTGCCGAGTGAACATTTACGATTATTCATGTTGCTTGATTTAACAAAACGAGATGAAAACAGTTTCACATAAAAATGAATGTTTCTCAGTTTATAAAATGAGAATCTGTGATATACCCTACTTTTATTTCTCACTGACAGTCGTCTCCTACAATCAATGCCTAATGGCAAACAGCAGAGCCGGATAACGACTTGCTCCCTCTGGAGAGTAAATACTTCTTAAGACCTATGCAACTCATTATCTGCTCTCAAACCTGCTTCCACTCAAGCTTTATAGGGCCTGTGTGAGCCGGGACAGACAAGCAGCTTTTTAACTTGATCAATCTTTGAAGCGGACGACAAAAATCTATCAAAATGTCCCCCTGGCTTTTTGCAGTTTCCTTCTAATCCTCTGCTGGGAGATCTGTATCAAGCCATCCAGCCCATTGATGTTTGCTTTCTCCTTCGTCACATGCGGTTTGGATCGCCTTGTTCCGGATGTTTGAAACAAGGATAATGACATTGTTTTTCTCTGGCTTTAATTGGCAATGAAAGGTTGATTATTAGAAAAGGAACAAATGGTCAAGTTATGTGGGCATCACAGAGGTTTGGGAGGAATTTAAAAAGCCATTTAAGACACGAGACAGACGATGAAAGGAAATACATTTGGTGGGTTTTGTATAACGTTTCTCAGTTTTCCCTCTGAGATGTTCTCACCGCTGATGGGAGTGGAGGCGGCGGCCGGATGGCTCCAGTCACTCCAGATGCCGGGCTTCCTGGAGCCATAGATGCCCACTGGATTGCATCTCACTTGGACAAAATAAACGGTCCCGGGTCGGAGGCCTGCCAGCCGACATGACGTCTGGTTACCAACATCATCCACCACCTACGAGCGGGAACAAACCCACAGTGAAGATGTGTTAGAAATGGGTAATATCATCCTCAACTAAATGATATCTTTCTTTCATGCACAGATGAAAATAATATTTAATTTGTTAATGAGCTTTTTATTGATTGGTTTGCACATAAATTGAAAAGGAAAAAAAGCAGTTGCAGGTGTCATGTTACAGGAGTACAATGCAAAACACAACAACATACAATACATTGCCACTTTGTCATATTTTTTGCATTTGACATAAAAACCTCACCTTTTAGGTCTGAATATAACAAATAAATAAAGAAGGGAAATGTGTTAAGTGTTATGTCGGGATATCTGGAAAGGTAATTCTCTTTCCATAGGCAAGGAAAGTTTGTTAGAAGAGCTTCGTATGCATTTTAAATGTAGTCATACAGTATGTCAAATATTTTTAACCGCTTATAATTAATCTTATTCTGTATTGAATCCAGCACTCTAAGATGTACCTGCACAGACGAGACGAAAAGCTGTGGGCAGGGAACTTCAAATGAGATTTCTAAAGAATAAATGTTCTCCACTATTGCACTTTTGGATGAAAGCCAGCGTTCAAAATGTCCCTGCAAAGACTCGAGCAGCAGCCAGGGGTTTGCACGCTTGTATTATTTGCTTTGAAATGAAAGCACATGCGGGAGACTGGAGATGCAGCAAATTTTTGGTTCATCATTTAATGGCTCAGTCAATGCTGCACCTCCAATATTTCCACAGCTGCCTCAGAGGTGTCGTAGCTACAGAGGAAGTGTGTGTAGGCTGCAAGTTTGTGTGTGTGTGTGTGTGTGTGTGTGTGTGTGTGTGTGTGTGTGTGTGTGTGTGTGTGTGTGTGTGTGTGTGTGTGTGTGTGTGTGTGTGTGTGTGTGTGTGTGTGCGTGTGTGCGTGTGCGTGCGTGCGTGCGTGCGTGCGTGTGTGTGTGTTGACCACCTTCCATTCAGAGCTGTCCTCCAGTCTGTAGCGTATCTGGTATTTGGCCTGAAACAGGACGTCCTTGAGCTCGGGGGGGCTGGCCCAGCGGACCGTCAGCTGGTCCTCCAGGACGCCGACACGACTCACCTGCACGTTGGCAGGAGGGTCAGTGGTCACTGCGAGAGCAAGGACAAGTGATCAAAGTTATTATGCAGCAGATGTACAGCAATCAGAGCAAGGATACACTGCAGAATGTGGCGTTTTGACACTGAGGGCAGAAAGCATCCCACCTCATCACTCTTCATGGTGAGGATGATCCGTGCAGAGCCATACAACTGCATCTCTCCTACTTACAATGTTATATTTAGTCTTTATTTTCCATGAAAAGTCCTATGTTTCTTGGGTGCAACAGTCAGTCAACATTAATTAAAATGATCACTGATCATTTCTTTCTCTTTTTTTGTGTTTCTTTTAGTTTTTTTTATTAAAAGAAACAGTCAAAAAATTAAAATAAAAAAAAAAAAAAGTCAGTAAGATTTATCATATACAATAATGACGGTAAAACTTTTTTGAGAATTGTTATCAAAGTTAGAAAGTCAGGAAAAAGAATGAATTTAATTAAATAAGAATGTGTTCCTCATATGCAGTTTTATATTATTCCAATAGGAATGCTCTTTTTGTAATGAATTATGCATTTTAGCCAATTTCCAACACTAATTAGGCTTATACTGTATAAGCATGAATTTGAATGTGTCACAAAAAAATCTGGGATATGGAGTTTTAAAAAGTGGACATTATTGGAAGTGTTGGATCCAAGTCTGGATTTCACTGCTGCTTCCATTTTGAGCAGTCAGTAAATCATTTTTTATGGTCGAAGCAATATATAATATCCTTCAATAAAAACTATTCCCCCATAAAATTCTCTCACTTTGTGCAGGAGAAAAAGTCCTAGCATACTGTTAATCGGAATATGCAAACATGCACACATTCAGTAGATACTTCCCAGGTGTGCGCGAAAGAAATACAAATAAATGAATCTGTTGACAGAATGAACATGAGGGAATATTGAATCAAAGTAGAAACCCCTACCCAAAACAGGACAGTTCCAAAAGCAAGATCATTTAACTCTCAATTTTAGTCTAAAACATTATCTTCCAGAAGTCTGTCACTTTTAGACATTCTTGTACCAAATGTTTGGGTTTGTAGCTTGCCGTTATATTTCAAATGTGCTTTAACTTCCCCTCTTGTAGAGACTGGCTTTGGCTCAGATCAGGCTGTACTTCCTGTGCAGAGCGTGTTGTAACTTCGGTCAGAATTAGACTAAACATTTTACCTCCTGCAATAAAAGTCTGCAAACAAATCAAGTGCTTTGAAGGAGAGAAACACAGAGGGACAGATAAGAGGACGGCAGCACGAGAGACAAAGAAAGACACTTATTAAAGAAGTTGTAAAAGTGTTTCCTGTTTGTAACCTCCTGCTTTGATATTCTTCACGGCACTGGTTCTCAGCTTTATTTGTTCCATCGCACTCAGCTCGAGGAAGAAAGGGAACCAAAGCCAGCACAAATAAACCCACAGCTTATTGTTTGTGTTATTGATTCAGTGCTATGCATTATTCATGCTGTACATGTATGGCAGCACTCCTCCTTCTCAATAGCTCAGCAAAGTTGACTGTTCTTCAGTGTGCAGTGAGGATGAATGGAGGGAGAGGATGCCCAGCCAAAGACAATAAACACTGGTTTCAAAATGTGCTTGAGGCCGCAGCATTGCATAAGCGCTGCAGAATTTGTATACTTCTATCGTTTATACATGATAACCTAAAATTCTCATGAGAGCACTGTGAAGCTTTAGCATGAGAGGCATCAGATGTGCAGTTAACTTTTACAACACAACAGTTTAATTTTGTTTCCAGCCTGAACCCATAATGCTGTCACAGAGGCGTGTTGGAGGGAGTGAACCATAAAAATAAATCCCCATCTCTCCCCTAAAGAGGTGGGTTACGAGGGCTACAGACAAACAAGTGAAACAAAGGAAAAGCAAGAGACAGGAAACAAATTAAAGGTCACCTATTGTGCAAAATCCACTTGTTTTTGTTCATGTCTCTTCTACATCAACATGTGCCCCCTCTGTGTAAAGAGACTCTGAAAGTTTCAGGAAAAAAGATTCTCTCACTTTTTGTCCTGATCCATTTATATAAAAACCTGTCTGAACATGAGCTGATCAGATTTTGGCCACTTTATGATGTCATAACGATTTTTTGGCTTGTGTAACCATTAGCCAATCAGCAACCAACGTAACCCCCCCCCCCCCACCTGAATCTCCTCCTAGAGCACCATTGTGTTCTTGTTAACCAAATCTCTCTCAGAGGGGCGTGGGGAGTGGCTCCTTATTTTCATCTAAAGTAACAGACTCAGCACTTTTGAAACAGGGCTGAAACAGAGGGGATTATGGGATGCTGCAAGGATCTGTTTGGTATTTGGAGCCAAACACTTCAGAGACATGTTTTGTATATAACTGAGACCTATAATATATTGATGAAAAACAGTAAGGGACCTTTAAAGAACAAGAGAGGAAAGGGAGGACAAATCAGTTTCACACATCCTCAAATGGATCCTCAAGTGCTTACCCACCTACATCGAGGATGTCCAGGGTTGTGATGTCAGAGGTGGCCGAGCCCAGCTGATTGGCTGCCTCCACCCAAATCTCGTACGGGGTGAAGAGGGCGAGGTTACTGGGGATGTAGCAGGAGTATCGCTGCTTCCCTGTGCTGTAGATTTCACAATCCTTCTCTCTGCCGTACCACCTGCACAGAAACAAAAACACAATGACCAAAATAAACTACGATGTAGGTAGACTGAGTATATTTAACACAAGCGAAGCAACACACTGCAGCCTCTCAGCAAAGTGTGTGTGGCAGATCATAAACTGTACGCGGCACTAAAGCATGTATTGCTAGTCTACCTGAGTGCTGTGGGGCGAGGTGATCACCTGTGAGCTGCAGCAGGTCTGGGGCGCTCACCTCAATTTGTACTTGAGGGTGTATTTGGTTCGGACGTGGGTCTCACCCCGCCCCCCCGGGCTCCACCTGCAGCTCAGGTCCTTTGTGTTGCGGGACCAACACGTTAGATTTACAGGCTTTTCTGGAGGCCCTGGTGGGAAACAAAGTACAATGAATGTTTTATTTGAAAAAAGGCAATAAAGGCAACAATACGAGCCGAGTGTTAATCTTATTTTGTTCTGAAATTAACAAAAGAAAACTGAGTAGGGCCAATTCCTCTCCACTCATGTGTAGCATTAACTCCATCAAGCAAATGCATTATAAAAGCTGATGAACTAATCAACAAATCTTAAAGCATTACAGAAAGGTATGAATAAAAAAGGTTTTATATAGAATTAAAAACAAAGAGTTGGAAAGCAGCAACCAAGGTTTTCATATCAAGGTTCACTAATTAGATACACAATTCTGTCAACAACAGGCTCTGACTCTTAATGTCATTAATCAGCATTTTGTATACAATCTATAATTACATTTAGTTTAAGGTGGAGTGACACCGGTTAGGAGAAAAACAATATTTAAAGTAAACAAGAATTGTAATGCAATCAGAGTATGTTTGCAAGCACATGTATATAAAGTAATTCATTTTTCATTACATCATATACACACAACCAGCCCTTCAAAGCAAAGCAAACAAAGAAAATGGGACAAAACAACATTACTTTACCTTTTTTGGATAATGTTTGTATTCATATGTTTTAAAAAGGGCCTTTCAATTCATTACATAATACTACCATATCCTAAAAGCACTGTGCCAGCCTCCTGACTGTGCATTTTAACAATCCATTTCCATAAAGCTCTGCGCAGACAGCATCCTTCACTTACAGCCCACATAGAGACAGGAGCCGGCCAGGACATGTCCATCTGCTCCGTGACACACCAGGTTGTCTCCGGACTGCTGCTGGGAGCCGTTGAGGTTGTGCAGCGTGACGCTCAGGGTGTCGGGGCTCAGCACGCTGTAGCTGCTGCTGCACACACTCAGCCCGTTCAGGGTCCAGAACAGAGAGCCGGCCTGCAGACCCAGCCCCGGGGCCAGCGTGCAGGTGGCCGTCAGGCTGGAGCCAATCGGCAGCACGGGGTCCTGAGGGGAGATCACTGCAACATCTAAGGGAGGACACACACATGTATGGTATTCAAATGCTCCTTGTTTACATTCTCAAGGTTTCAAGGCTATTGTCATTGTGTGCATACAGTAGTTATGAATGAAAATCGTAGGTCACAGACTCCTCCAACAGTGCAACACATTAAAACAGATAAAATAATGCAAGTGAATAAAATAAAATTGAATATAATAGAAACAGAATATGATAGAAACTGTGCAGAATAGTCTATATACAGTAATTGGAATATTGATATATATGTGCGTTGCAAACAGATGAATGTTATGTATGTTCTTTCAAAAGTTCAGGTGTTTAACAGTTTTAACACTCTCAAGGTTCTTTATTGTCAAACTAAACATAGCTACAGTAATTGTGTCGTTGAAAATCTTAGGTCACAGGCTTCTCCAACAATGCAACACAACAATACAGATAAGCAGACAATATTAAAACAATATTAAAATATACTATATTAAAAGTAATAGTTTTTAAAAAAGTGGAATAGTGCAATACGAGTCTATATACAAGTTATTGTTATTACACTTTGTGTTATCTTGCTGAAGGTCATTGAAAGTTAGCAAAGATATTTTTGTTGTATGCCTACAAAGACAATAACATGTCTTTAATTGCCATGCTTTCATCGAACTCCACTCATTTCAAATGTCCAGTTTCCAGAGCCAAAGGAGATTAGACAATCCCAAACATCTTAGAATACTATATATACAACTTGGAAAAGCTGATAATGATAACACATTTCAGAGACTGAAAGCTGCAGACATATTGCATTTTTTATTTGATGACTGAAATTATGAATGAATTACAAACTGAATTATCTTGTTGAATCAATTAATTGGACTACATTATTAAATGGAATTTATTGTTGTTGTTTCTCTGATTTCACATCTCTGTTGATGTGTTTGCAGTCTGTCCAGAAAACAAATACCTGTTCATGATAGATTCTGCTTTCACCCTTTTTCTTGTAAAGGTCACCCAAAGCCAAAATAAACAACTCACTTTCTAATATTGTTTTTCTGACAGAAACACAATGCATTTTAAATTTGAGTTTTTAAGCCCTCCCAACCTTTAATCTTCATTGATTTGACACTCCATCACAGCTTGCACTATATTCTGGGTAGCTATTATTCTGTAAAGTTTGATTTGTTAAAGCATTAAACACACAGTGGGCCCAAATCTGTTGCCAGCAGTAAGAAACATTGTGTGAGGAGGGGGAGTGCGGCAGCAGCACTGCAGCACCACAGAGAGCAGGAGCTCAGCACATATTTATGACCCGGTAATGAAGTGGATTTATGGAGCCTCAGTGGGATCACTCAGAAAGGTCATCCTGTTGTCGATTAAATCCTTGAATACTTTTCCATACCACGGCTCTGCTTAGACTTTAAGTTTTCGTTTATGATTGATGCCCCTGAGAAACCCTCTGCTCTCAATGTTACCAATGGGCTCCTTCTTCTTCTTCAGAGATATCAGGGGTAATGTGTATAATTGCATTAACCATGCTCCAGGTGGGCGGTGGAAAAGCTTTCCAACATATGTGCCACTGCGCTGGATGCAGTAGCAGATAATATAAAGATAAATGCACAGATATGAAAACTGTATCTGCATAAAGTAAGACCTTTGGGTCTCAGTGCTTCAATATCAAACATGATGTAAGGTATAATATATACAAGAAAAATTACAAACATGCATGAGTTTTTATGTTTTTTTCACCACATATATAGAAGCTGTTTGCAGTTGTTTATCTCAGTCTTATGATTATAAACATCTGCATGATAATGACTCTGCATTTCCTTCATGCAACAGCGCTAATGAACAATGTTGATTTCAATTTGTCTCCTCAGCTCCATCACCACCATGCCTAATACGTGTTGTTCTTAGTCTAATCCACAATTAGGGAAACAATCAGCTAATCCTTACTCTCATTTCTATGTGTTGTCACTGGATCTGGATTTTTTTTTTTTTACAAGGCTATAATTTGTGTTAACACTTTGTCATTAGTTGGTCACAATGCAATCTCTTTAACACATTTTCGCTAATAAATAAGCAACAGGATTGATTAATTTGATGATCATGAGATAATAAACATTTGTCTGTTTATTAGCAGCCAAAGCAGGTAGCTTTAGCCCTCCCTATAAATATTTCTGTTTGTATTTAATCACTGTTTAGAAATGGGATTTTCCTAATAGAGCCCTAATTTAAAAGCAAATATTAGTGTTTTGCACATATATATTGCATATATGTCAGCTGATAGATAACAATAATTTGCAGAAGCCAAATATTGATATGGATGTTTGCAGTGATTTATAAAATGTTTTTATGACATGAATTGTCTGCCAGAGAGCACTGAGAAGTTTATTGAAACTGCAAAAATATTCAGCTATTATCCAGATAATAATAACACAAACATAATATTGGTATTCTATTAACTGCCTTATACAACTAGCAATAGTGGTCTCAAAATGTCATTAGATCAGACTTTAATTATTACAATAACGTGTTGTGAAAGTTTCTTGATTTGATTGGTACTTCAATCATAACATTATACAAAAGCTGATGTTCTTGTTTTGTAATTTTAACCATTAACACTTTCTCTACTATTTTCCATAAACATTTATTAAATAAAGATATCAATATCGCAAAATAAAATAAAAAAAATTATAAGATAATTGCCATCTAATACGCATTGGCCGTTCTTAAAAATCTGTCTTGTGTGGTTGCCAATGATAATTATATCTGGTGGGTATTTATTGCATCTTGCCATGTTAAAATTGTGAAAAAAGTTACCCTTATTTGTGCTAGTTTTAATTAAGTTGAGGTAAATGTTGTTTTGTTGGTTAGGAGCCTCCATACAGCAGCTCCCTCTGGGAAACCTTGATTACTTTATAGCTGACTGTTGCTTTAAGTCGACACGGTTACCCTCCCATACCCTGAGGTGAGCACGACTGAAACGCGGTAATGTCCGGTAGCGTGTATGACGGTTTAGTCAAGTTTGGTACTTACGCGTCGAGGACAGCAGCTCATGTGGAACTAGCATGAGCAGAAACATGAAGTAAAACATGCTTCTTTCAGTAACTTGTTTTCCCTTTCGGTTCTTTCCGAGTTCCGAGCTGACAGCGGGGGGAAGTTGGAGGATGAAGCCGGTTAGAGGCACACTCCAGCGGCTCTTCTCAGACCAAATGTCGGCTCTTCACTGGAAGTCTGGAGAGGACAGTGAGTGCAGGCAGGCTGCAGGAGACACGAGGTTTTCTTCCTTTTAACTCCTTTGACTCTGCTGCTGCTGCTGCTGTAACACTATGTTACTCCTCCCTTGTTTCCCCCCTCAGTCACATAAGTCATTAGTGCTACACACACACACACACACACACGCACGCACGCACGCACGCACGCACACACACACACACTAGTCCCTATTCAAAAGTCCCCACTCCTTTTGTTTCGTCCTCGTCATTGAAGAACTTGGTGATTAGATGTTGTGTGTGTTGTTTGAGGGCCACGGATCTCTGAGCTGAGCATCGCGTGCGGTCGCCTGGCGACAGGTTGTCATGGCAACCTTGGCGTGA